AGTGTTGTAGCAGACTGGAGATTCCCCGTTTTGCCTGTGGAAAATATTAGACAAAATCACTATTTCATTGTACACCTAGGTGACCGGTGTGGAATGTTGAGTTGGTTGCTGTATTTGATTATTTGAGTTGAGCACCTCCATTTTTGCTTGACGCTGGTTTCGGTCGCAACGCGCGACTGACTTGTGTGCTGTGCTTTCTGCGTTCCCCTAGCTAGAGCGTCAACGGTGTTGTTCTTCATATAGCTAGGCACCAGAAAACCTTTTACTGTACAAATAAAAGTTTCCCTGCAACCCGATCTGTCTGTTGGAATCGCTCTCCGGACTCCCGCTAAAGTCTACTCACTAAACTAGTTCATTCACCTTCAGTGCTCCTTGTCGTAAGTTACTGCTTCGTTCACATCAGCCTGGAGGACTCTTCAGGCAAGGATTTTCCTGGCTACAGTATTGCATCAGTAGCCTATTCATATTCCCTCTATGGGATAGCCGAAACGACACTGGATACACTGGTCCCGTTCCGGGGATAACCTGTTTATGGTCGGACTGACTTTACATTCTTAAGAGAAGTCAGAACAACTCGAAGCAATCCCATTTTATCATAAAGCTTAGAGTTCGTGTGAATCGGCTATGATTAGAGGGTTTAGCCAGAACTACGATCGGAGCACAGCTAGAGGTCCATCGGTTCGGGCAATCCATCATCACTCTTCTTTTTAGAAATACAACCCTAGATTTGTTTCTGGTATGCTTCGACGTGATATGGGCAGGGAGTTAGTTGCCATTGCAGCTCTTGTGATTTCGGCTTGGTCTCCTATTCGTTTCTGGCCTAGGATAGGGAACCACGAACGTTGGTGCTCATACAGCCAGTGTACTTATTTTCTACGCCTGTAATATCGTCTGCCAGTGAGCGAATAAAGACGTGTGCTGGCAGTGAATAGTTTGGATGACTCTGAAGAGCAATTTCATAGGAGTTGTAAAGAAATGACTTGACTCAGTTCAGAGCAAAACAGCAATTTCATGTGTGAGATACCTCTGGTGTATCTTACCCCTAACACTGCACTGCACGATCGAGGTTATCTTTGCTTGGACTCATTAGGTAGTGTTAGCTACAGGTGAACTCGGCACGTATTGGCTGACCACTGACATCTTGATTACTGGACCCGTGGGCTCCGTGAGCAGTGCTAGCGCAGCTCTTAGGAATTCATTTTCGTCTCGTAAGCGCCTATTGTGTGTTTCTCTTTCGGCTGCTGTTCCGTTGGTCGGAATGAGCGTGCTTCGCTTCAAAGGAAACGATGGCTTGAATTGAAATTGCTTACACTAATGCACACACACACCGAGTACCCGAAGGCTCAACAAGCAGAAATTTACTGACATGTCGCTAAGGCTAGATGGAGATGCTTGAGCTTCAGTTGGAAATGAAACACGGTCCAGAATGAGATTAAGCGTAGCAATCAAATCACACAACGCATGTTTCAAAATGACCACCATTCAATCAGTAACCGCTGTCAAAATTGTTGTTCGAATCTCGGTTGCGTATAAGTAAAAGCTTCGGTTCGAATCCCAACGTCTCTGCCACCGCGACCTCACCGGTACAAACACGTAGGAAGGTAGCTGAAGAATGCAATGCTCTGAGCAAAAATGCTTCAGGTTAGTCTGTTTACAAAACCGCTTGCTTAGCACACGTGGCAGTGACGACTTCGGCCAGCTACAAGCTGTTTGGTGCATTATGCATCGGTCACTCGATCTGGAAAGGTATCAGGCGATTGTGCGGGGTACGTACGTCCGAGAATGACACCAGCTGGTTGATGTTGGCTGATGCGCAGATTTCGGTAATTTGTCCCTAAATATAGTTAATAAGAACGGTTATAAGCTACCTGAGTAGTCCTCAACACTATCTTTTATTGGGACTAGAAACACGATTCCGTGGAACATGAATGGTTGTGTTTTATATGTGCTTTTCGACAAGGAGCATGCAAGAAAGAAATGATGATTTGCAACGGCCAGATCTGATACAATGCGCACTGAGTGAAGATTGTCAAACCGGCTGGAATGAGCGTAGGTAGATGAGTGAGCGACGAGGCTCGGAAGAGTAAAGCTTCGTGAAACGGGAGGAGGGAAAGTTTGCAACTGCACAGCCAATGTGTTCAGTTCCCCGTTTTTTTACTGACTTTGTTGTAGGATCTCGCCCTCTGACGAAACCATGGACTTTGATGTGTTTTGTTGTGTTTTCTTTTACTATTTCTGTACCTTCTTTTGAGTCCCATGGTTTCTGATGGCTCTATGTCTATACTTTGCGACTTACGAGGATTAGATCAATTTAGCAAAGGGTCTTGTACCAATGCCGAACAATATATGGGTTACATTTTCAAACTCATAGGTTTAAACTAAGAATATCAGCAGAAGAATCTTGTGGGATGACACGATCATTGCGGACATTCTCGTTGGCCAAGTACATGCAAATAACAAAGGTACCAAAATAAGATCACACCAAATGGATTGATGGCCGACAATTTTACGTTTGGTGCGTTACTCGTTACTAAGGCGGACTTAGTGTAATTGTTAGTTGTTTTTGAACACAGAACGGTGGACGCTGTCGATCGATAACAATGACCTCGAGGAACTTGAGAATGTGGGGCTTTTGACTTCATTTGAGGACTGTGAGTGATTCATCCACTTACATGATGACAGGTGTTCATCAAATGCTACGTAACTACTGAGACAACCCAGCTTCCCGATTCACCTGGTGCAACCGTTGTGTGTTCCATCTGCTTGCGTAGCCACTTTGGGATGTGTTCACTGATTCGGAGACAGATTTAGGTCAGTGGGTCGGGCATAGCTGTCTCCACAGTTGCATGTATATTTGTATAGGTAATGGGACGTTCACTGCTTCGGCGCTGGTGTCTTCACTGAACTCTCAAGCAGTATTCTTGTGGACATGAGTGAGCCTAGATCTGTTGCATTGTATGCCATTTTCATTGAGGTTTCACCCCGATTCTAAACTGGGTTACCTATTTTCTTTGGGTATGCATTAGAAACTCTATAAGCAATGGGGTCAAATTGTAAAGGTGGGGTGATTTTACCGCATCCTGTGTCAGTAACGATAGCAGCAGTAATAGGCCGTGCCTTACTACAAATCCCTTTGAAACTGTACTGCGATGCGGGTGCGGTAGAGAGAGACCACTCACAAGCGCACCGTTTGGTAGCAGTGGCGGTGGAAGTCCTATCGACACTTTTTCTGGACTAGCCAGTTTTTGTAGTCCAACAAACCAACATGAACTACTCGACGTGATGCACTATTTCCTACTAGCGATAAAATACTAAATCGCAAATGACACCCCGGATCCCAATTATCGATGGAACCCCTTCGCTAAAAACATTTACAGTCACAATTATCCGACACGAAAGTGCATCACTGTCCTCGGATCGCAGATCATTTTCGGGTCATTCCATCTCTCTTACCAGCTGCGACTGCAAATTCTGGAAGTCCATATTGGGCAGTATTTGCGCCTGAGTGACGATTTGATTATGACGTATGAGATCCTGAGGAATCCCAACTACCTTTGTCGTCATCTGAAACAGAATCACTATTTCCCAACGTGAGGTCATCAGTTGAAGCTGACCACACAGTAAGCTAGCTGAAATGTAGCCGGACTGTTTCTCTCCGCGTGTTTCAACTACAGACTGCCTTCTCTGCTTAAATTGTTTCCTCATATTCCCGGTACTAAAAAAACGTCTTGTTGATACACTCATACAGTTACGTTACGCTACATAGCCCATTATGACAGATCGTCAACGTAACACATCCAGACGGCGTACTCAATTTAACTTCCTGGTGAGGCCACCAACATTTGCTTTATTCCACTGACGCTACTTTGTTTCCCAAAGTATCCACCTTTCCATCCTATCGAAGATATCAGACGTTGGTTTTTTTAATCCATATTCAACCATTGTTTCTGTTGTTTCAGTGGTTTCCTTTGCTTAAGTGTCTAAAGGGGAGCTCTGTAGAGACCCAAAATATACATCTTATCTTTAATGCACAGTTTCATTTGGGTTCTATTGTAGGTAAATTATTCTTGTTTTACTCATTATACCTTAAGACCATATTCGCTTACATCCGCTTCTCACGTCGCTGACATACGAGCCTGCCTGCTCTTCCCGTAACTTTCACGAATATAGTCCACTGTGTAAAACCCTAGTTGCCGGTTGATATCTGAGCTAGATAAAGCTCGCTATTCAGAACTGGTATTTACTGGTTCTACAAAACGTGGTGTCCTCGAGAGAAAGATTTAATCTCATCCACGTTTATTCATTCCAATTGGTGATTGGAGCAGACGGCGGGGCCTTTAGATTATCCGTTTCCTTTTTACTGGGACATCGCTCTTACTTTATTCGCTACGGATTTATCAGTTTACGTTAATATATTTAATATTTTCTTCCGTTACGCTAGTTACAAGGTAACTGATGCTGTTCATTACCGGTTTTTAAAATGGACCTGTTTTGAAAATAGCCCTGTTATGTTAGGAGCACCACGTAGGCTCCCTCATCCGCGGGTGATTTGTGGGCCGACCGGTAACGGTAGTGTCTCTTACCCAAATAATTCACCACGCGTATACACTGCATATGGTACAAATACGGGTGGTACAATGCAAGTCGTCCACTGTCCCAATACTGGTGATGGATTCCTGTGGATGCTCTCTTTCAACCTAACAGACACCTCCAGAAATGGCTGTCCCTAACCTTAGTTGTCTGTTCGCTGTCGTGGACTTTAAATCATTGCGCAATATCAGCCTCAGTACACTGATTAACTACTTGATCCATTCCCAAATAACATATCTCCCTCAAACGCAGGCACTTGATGCCTTAAGTCGCCATCGACGTTCACAGTCTTGGTTTATTCTTATGCTCCTCGCCAAATTCACTCCATTTGACGCGCTTGCTATGAGCTATACATTGACCGTGCTGAGAATATTACTCACAAGTGTAATTTGTTCTGGATGTCAACTCACTGGTGTTCTATGCTTGCGATTTCTTGGTTGTCCTCGCGCACCTGAAGTAGTAACCGCTCGCGTTCGCGTTCGGGGTCATCTCTGGCTGCCTCTTCTGCAAGCAACTGATCCCGTTTGGCTTCAGCCTCGTGAAGCTGTGCGTACAGCCTCATGGCCTCTTGTTTCGCCTGTCAAAGAAAGATTGCAGCGTGGATGCACAAATGAGTGATGAATGTAGTACTTTAAAATGGGAAACTGGCTTCTTTATCTGCTCACCATCGGACATTGGTTTGCGTAACTAAATACCGGTTGCTACAACTCCGTTAGGATACGTCGAGTGGTCGGAGAACCGGACGAACACGAATACCTTCAGCGCAAATGTAACACGATTTCGAACTGGTCAGTTTAATGTGGAAAAATTACCGCGTTGTTCAATTGTGCTATAGGCATAACCACGTGTATTGGCCTGAGTCACATCAATCGCAAACTAATTCCCAGGAACGCGACCTTGGGGTGCTCATACAAAGGGACATCAACTATGCAAATCAGTCTGAGGCAGCTGCGAAAAGAGGCAACCAGCATGTCGGCCTGCTGCGGAGGCAATTCGGGAGTTTTGGTCCATCCATTTTCCCGATAGTGCAAAATATCTTACGTGCGCCCTCACGTTGAATACACTATCCAAGCTTGTCAACCTTACTTGAAAGGTAATTTGGAAGCGCTAGAGACACCGCAATGCAGGGTTACAAAGAACGTCAAAGATCTACGCAATTTGTCTTACTAGAGAAGGCTGAAGTTATTGAGTGTTTTCCGCGGATGCCGTCGAAGGTTGCATTGCGATCTCAAATCAGTGTACCAAATATTGAGTGACTTTAACCACTTATGCTGTCACTTGCTGAAACTCAGTCATTGCACCAACCTCAGAGGTAACTGCTTGTAACTGAGTGAACAACACAGCCATCTGGAATGCCGACGGAATTATTTTTCTCTTCGCGTTTGGCAAGCATAGAATTCCCTCCCAAACTCAGTTATCTCCCCCCAACCTGAATGTGGTCAAAAGCCGATTAGATGTTGCTCTTGGCTCCCATCACTCCGTTACCTAAGCTGTAATACTTTGACAACTATTACACATCGGATTTATATGTCACAAGGACATAACAAGGCACTACGTGACAGAGTAGTCTTGTAGAATTGTTTTCGTGGAGTTACGTCAGCTATAACTGCCTCCCATGTTATTGTGTTTGCTTGTATTCAATTCCAAATTACGCTTCAACTAGGTCTTTTTAAGCTGGATAAATTTCATTCCACTTTATTTGCTTTGACCTACCTACCTGCATAATCTTTTAGTAACTGGCCACGTTGCTTTCGTTAAGTGCGCTTATCTTCGGTAACTTTGTTGCATTTGTAGCATTTTTAAGTAACTTGTGGACATTTTTTATTTGTCGCGGATTCATTGCTAACCAACTTACTTCATATGCTAACTTAGCGAAGAGTCATGCCACCGTATCTGTATGCATTATTGGATTTATTTTATTTCATCTTGTCGTTTCAAGTGAATGGCCGTTGTTTGATATCCCCGGTGTGGCTGCGCTTGATGTGCATGTTGACATGATGCCTATCTCTCTATTACCCACTACCTCGCTCATACTGGCTGGAGGGGATGGGGTGCACCGTCCTTGTGGCCGTGCTAGGCTCGAAGAGCGGTTCCATGCACTCAGTGTGGAGCGGACTACGGTCTAGTCACCGCCTTGTGTGCGCTTGATTCCCCAAATACAGTGTGCTTGTGTTTGCCTGTGAAGGAGTGTGGGCCGGCTACGTTGATGTAACGTGGTTCCCATCCACATGCCTCGCGGTCTTATTCCTTCGGGTTTGCACTAGATATAGGGTGTGTGGATGGTGCAGCGCAAGCCACGCATGGTCCCTCTGTAGGCGCAGGCGTCCTGTGGCTGGCCACAGTGACAGGCAAATCCGAAACCGGATGCAGCCAACCATACAATTCCCATTCCGAAGTACCGTTATTCAGCAGCACGTTTACTCGATAGTCATCATCATCGTTATACACGTTAGCTAGAGGTGTAAAAGAACTCAGCTACTGTGCCGCAATGCATAAAAAGATAAATGCAACAGTTGCATGCCAGCTGAGCTACGAACAACGGATGGGCATTGTTCCGGAAAGCTACCAGCCCGCTACTAGGCAACAAGAAAATTATTATAAATAAATAATAAATAAATAAACGTTTTATTCCCCAGCAGTGCGAGGCAAAGACCAATTGGGTGGTCTTATCAACAGTTATATTATGCTACGAACTGAGATCGTGCTTGGAAGGGAGGCTAAAAGGGCTGGGGAAGAATAAAGAAACTCACAGCTGGAACGCCACTGAGGTCGGCTCCTTGCCATATCAACAAGTGTATCCAGCCAAAGGCGTTCATCGTCTTTCGGACCCCAACCAGGAAGCCGAGACGCTCCAACTGTGGCCATCTTCGAAGTGAGGACCTTCATTCCTCTCGACCAGATCATCGCTTGGCAACCCCTCCTCTTCTTCCATCCACACCCCCGGCGCGCAAACAACACATGTCGCCGGAGTCGGTGGGCTGGCATGTGTAACACGTGGCCGATACATCGGATCCTGGAGTGTGAAATGACGGTGCCGAGCGGTTCAGTTCCTTTTTCTGTGCCGTAAACAATGCGTTGAACACGCTTGTTGCTCATGCGGGGTTACTCGGTAAACGCTTAAACGTACGCCCACATGTTTTCTGATATTTTATGATTTCAGTAGGTCTTGAATACAAATCGGTTTTTGTGAGTTTCATTGTAGAAACGTTTCGCTCTTAACGCAAGAGCTCCTTCAGGTCATCTTACTGGACTTGTCTAACACCTGATATTTTCCCGTGATAATTCATAGATCATTGTCATCAACTAAACTATTCGAAACGAGAGAAGTGATGGTGCCGGGTGCCAACCCATGTTGACGCTAGCTTGGTTCAACTTCCCCGGTACTTGGACTACTCAATGAGGAAAGGGAGCGTACAGTTCCATCCCATCAACTAGTCATCCAATTAATCGGACCAATAAATAAATAAATAAATAAATTTTTTTTATTCCCAACGAGGCGAGACACGCCTATATTGGCATGATCGGGTATGTGCATACTTTATAGAATGTTGAGCACAGGTGAATCAGGAAAATCGCATAACCAATCAGATAAGGACGATTGGGATGCGAATGAATAGATAATATACGGTTTACTGAGTTGAAATTATGTTGGCTAGATTTTAACTGTTTTCTCACATATAAAGCAGCCAAACCATAGGAGATAATATGATAGTGAAACATGCACTAGGTCCTATAAAATCTAGACCCTGCTCGTAAGCTTGGATTGTTGTTTTAATACAATCAAACAGTTTGATTAGAGTGAATCAAGGGAGGCAGAATTTGAGTGAAGAATTCTTTTCGATAATTCTAATCAGACGCAAACCATACATGATGATGAGAAAGTGCTAAATGTGCCGGAGTGGACTGCGTATTGATCAGAATGTTTAATTCCAACAGGAACAAATCAATAAATCACGGGGTGATTCAAGGTTGCGAAGTCTGTACAGGGGAAAACACAGCCGAAGTTGTAGGCCACGGTAGAAGTAAAGGACGTACAAACTGTTTTTGTACACACCATTCGGGCTTGAGGTGGCAGATATAGATAGCTTCCGCAATAGACAGGAGATGCTTCCGAAATGCGCGCGAGGAACGTTATGTAGACAACACGTTTATACTGCAAATTGAAAGCGCAGACTATGAAACTGTTGGAAGCCTTTAATGATGCGCATCAGAATCTACAATTCACATGTGAGCACGAGTCCAGAAACCGACTACCGTTCCTGGACGTTGATATCATCAGAAACGCCGATGGATCGTGCAGCAGAGCGGTGTATAGAAAACCAACTTGGACTGGACAGTACATCAACTTCTATAGTGCGGTATCCCTACAGTACAAACGAAATCTATTCCGCACTGTTTTCTTCCGGGCACACAGAATTTGAACACCGGACACAATCACCAAAGAATTGCAGAGGATCGGCGACGCGCTAAGAGCGAATGGGTATCCAAATAAATTCATCCTCAAACATTTGAAAGAACGCAAAATAAAACCACTAAGGATGAACGTACCCAAGAAGAACTAATTGTGCATATTCCTTTCAAAGGAGATAGTGCGGCTGATGCCCTGTCTAAACGCCTGAAAAACGCTGTTGAAAAGACCTATTTCGTGGCTCGCCTACGCGTAGTATTTTACAACAAGCCTTTATTCGCAAAACCTTTGAAAGACAGGCTGCCTCCAGTGACTCGATCAATGCTTGTTTATCTTTGCTCGTGCTCCTGTGGTGCACCATACTTTGGTCGCAACACGAAGCGCATATCTCATAGGATTCGCGAACACATCCCGAAATGGTATTACAAAGGCGAAACGAAGTCTAGTAACAGCTCCATCTTGTCTCATCTTCTAGAGTGCAGTCACGCAGGGACGGAAAACGATTTCAGAGTCATCTATACTATTCGCGCGGATTCCGGAAGCATCTCCTGTCTATTGCGGAAGCTATCTATATCTGCCACCTCAAGCCAGAATGGTGTGTACAAAAACAGTTTGTACGTCCTTTACTTCTACCGTGGCCTACAACTTCGGCTGTGATTTCCCCTGTACATACTTTGCAACCTTGAATGACCCCGTGATTTATTGATTTGTTCCTGTTGGAATTAAACATTCTGATCAATACGCAGTCCACTCCGGCACATTTAGCACTTTCTCATCATCATGTATGGTTTGCGTCTGATTAGAATTATCGAAAAGAATTCTTCACTCAAATTCTGCCTCCCTTGATTCATTCTAATAAATGGGAATTTTTGGTTTGCCGAAGACCAGCATTCCCCGTGATTTAGTCAAACAGCTTGATCACGATCTGTACTGACAAGAACTTTCATTCCAATCTGCGCAATTTACCCAGCTGTATTTTCAATGATTTTACCTGCGAGGTGGATATTTCTTGTTCCAATTCGATCCGACGGGCATTCAACTGGTCTAGTTGGGCCTGGCCTTCAGTCAATTGGGCCATCAGATGATCGTTCAGATCCCGCAGACGGAAGTAGTTCCCGCGTTCTTCGCTTCCCATCTCTTGAACAAGTGACTCCGATTTCTGTTGTTCCTGTTTAAGGTGATACGAAAAATGACCTCATAAATGACACGGCGCAAGTCACCGGAGCTCTACTCACAAACTTCTAGATTAAGTGGGATTATTCACCACGTGGGCCACCAGAATCCCCTATTGCTGTGTTGGTTAACTGCTACTGTTGGTTGGATGGTGAAAGAAATTCGCTTGTATAGCTAAATTCCATCGGCCTGCGAACACACGAACAAAGCAACATATTCGTCTCTGCTCTATCTTATTTAACGAACGGCTTTAACCATGAATTTGAAGCCAGAAAGTGCGCCTGCTGGATCTGACATCCGAACTTGTCTTGATGACTAATTAACAAAGAAGTGATAAGGCCGATCCATCACAAAGAAATTGAACCTTAATGTGATGCAATGGTTTGTGTGCCTCAGCGATCCATTGAGCTATACTGGGTGATGCTTTTTATTCACCTTCAGAGCCACTCATACCAGATTGGTCAATGGTTTGAGGCCAGACAAACGCTGTCTCGTGACCCTCCAGGTTGGGGGTTGGAAGGAAGGTGGCTCCTTACTCTTTAAAACCTGTAGTCCAGTGCCAAAACCCCGCTGCCTTGCGGAAAGGTTTTTGAACCAAAGGCTTTGGTTGAGAACCCTAATCGTTCTCCTGTCTAAGCCTGCGCACCTCACAGTGTTTTGCCCACGCAATACAATGAATCTTTCTTCTAACAATTTCTTGACGCTCTGGCCATCGCAGAGGGTAATCAACCGTGCCCTATCTGCTGCATCGAGCAGGGTGGATAGGGGTTTGGATGCTACTGCTCAGGTCATCCGGTTTTCTTATCCCCCTTCCTGTGCTTTTTCATCCTTATCGTCCCTCTCCAACTTTACTTTTATCCCCCCATTTGCAATCTCCCGATTCTTGACCTTCCTCCACCTTGCCTCAATAGTCGCATGTCTTCTAGTTTCAACTCACACACAGTCGCAGGGTGTCGCTTCAATCCAGTTTACACGTCCATGTTCAACCAAGCGGATAACGTCAGTTCATCCGTTTTCTCGTAATAGACAAACCTAATCCTCGAGGAAGACATATGATGCGATCTCAAACAGTTCAGACTAAAAGCTGGATGCACATTCCTCGACGCTAATTACCATGCATCAAATCCGTATGAGTGCGCTTCAGCTCTTTGCGTGCGCACGTTAAACATGGGTGTATGTGCATTCCTTGTGTGCGATTGATTCCCCAATACAACGTGCTTGTGTTTGCCTGTGAAGGAATGTGGGCCGCCTCTGTTGATGAACCCTGGCTCCCATTCACATGCCCCCCGGTCTTATTCCTTCGGGTCTACACTGGACATGGGGAGTGTGGATGGAGCTGTGGGTGGTGCAGCGCAAGCCATCCATGGTCCCCTTTGTAGGCGCAGGCGTCCTGTGGCTGGCCACAGTGACACGCAAATCCGAAACCGGATGCCACCAATATATATATATATATATATATATATATATATATATATATATATATATATATATATATCCGGAACCGGATTCTACCAACCAACGAAAGTGCTTTCTTTTGGCCACACGCACAATGATGGTTATTTGGCTAGCGTCAGATCAGTGTCTACAAATCTCTCACATATATGCTGCCGAAAGAATTTTGCATGTGATGCAAACAAGACGGTGCTCGAACCACATATCCTGCTCTATGATGGAACTACCGATAGAGTATAGCAGAATCGCAGTGTGACCAACAGCGATCACTACTGAGGTCTCATGGAATCAATCATGGAGGTGACTGCAACAAAGGTTTGGTTTATTTCAAGCGAGTCAGATTCGTCGTATCGCTCTGGGACGGACGTCACGTATGAAGCAATTCGCATTCGGTAATCCAAACGTAGCTAAACTGCCAGGTTAGCATAGTCTTTTTATATGATTTCTAATACATAAGTAGGAAAGCCATCCTTGACTAGGAATAACTTTAGCTGAACAAATGGGGCTTCATTGTGCATAAAAGGCTTTCCGTAAAATCTACGTCGTCATAAAGTTTAACCATCCGTCATGCTTGTTGACCTCCTGCGTGCGTATCAATTGGTTGCTCAGCCTGCAGGTACGTCCCGCGGCAACTCCCAAGACCTCCGTGTGGCATTCGCCAACTTGTGCAGCCTAATGAACAAACGTGACGAACTTTGCTGTCACGGAACGGCGGGACGTTTTAGGATTTACAGTGACTTGGTTAAACTCCGATGACATACTCCAAGAAGTCTCCTTGTCAGGCTACCCCAGTTTCCGTTGCGACCGAAAATCAAAAACTCACGGTGGTGTTCTGTTGTGCATCAAACCGTCACTATCTGACAAAATTAACAGCACCTATCGGAGCGAGGATAACTTATACAAGTAACTGGTGTAGAATCCGCCTCAGCCGCGCAGAACTAATAGTGGGTGTTATCTACCGTAGCTAATAAAACCAATTTTGGATATTAGCTACCACGTGTACAGAAACACATGAGCTGCCCTCAATTCTTACTGATGGGGGATCTAAATTTCCCTTAGATATTCTGGCCACGCTTTCGGCTTCTTCCCGGTCATGGAGATGTTGAGGCTCAATTCGCTCAAATGATTAGTGAAATCGGGGCAACGCAACATATCATCAAATCGACGCACATAACTCCGCACTCGGCATCTTGTCGGGATCTAATGTTCACGAGCTGCGAGCAGAAGCTGAAACGGATCAGAGTCCTCGAACCTCTGGCGAACAGTGACCACTGCTTCATTGTGGCAAGCATAGAACTACCGTCACCGTATTACAACCAACGAAAGCCGAGATTCAAATATTGGAAGACGGATTTCAACGGGCTTGTTCAAGCCGCAATTCAGACTGATTGGACACTACCACAGGATGCGTCGCTTGATATCTGTCGGTCATTAATGAAGGAGAAGCTTACCTCTCTGTGTACTTGGTTCGATACCCTGAAGTATTCAAAAGTAAGACCTGTCAAACCGCATTGAGTTGATAAGGAATATAAACCGTTAACGCGGTGCGGCGTCGCAAACTTTGGGATAGATACATCATCTCGGATTGTGATGAGGCTAACACGGGGTACAAGAAACAGCGTAACATATGTAGCGCAGCAAAGATCAAGAAATACCGGCAGTTCTAAGAGGAGCTAACACTCTCGGCCACAAGCGCCCCTAAGAGAATATTTACCTACTTGAAACGTCAAGTGAAACCTGCGGGCGACCTACGGTCTTAGAGAGCTTGAACGGACAGACGCTCATTTCAAGCGTGGAGCACGCGGAAGTCTTGGCTTCGCACTTCCTCACCTTATTTGCCTGTAAACCGGCGGCTATTCCACTACCGGCACTGATTGCGCCAGTCTTCCTGGACAGCCTACAATGTGATGCAGTCGACTTATATCAGCTACTGATCAACCTCGATGGTGCAAAGCCCCCCGGACCAGACGGACTTCACCCACTAATACTTAAGTCCCTATCGAATGTCATCTCACCAACTGTAACAAACCTATTCAATAAATCACTCTCTGAAGCATCTGTCTCCACGACTGGAAATGCTCGATAGTGAGACCATTTCCTAAGGGTGGTGATCCGAGTAAAGTAGAAAACTATAGACCGGTTTTGACTTCTATATTATCTAATGCTCATGAGAATGTTGTGAAAAGTATCTGCTGTCGCCCTTTTCAGTCAATACGTATTAACGCCAGCGCAACACGGCTTCACGAAAGGGCGATCCAGCATCACCAAATTGATGTACGAAAACCACCAGTGGGTGCAGGCTCTCAACGAACAAAAGGATTTGATAAAGCTTTCATCCCAACAGTTCACAAGCTACATAGCAGAGCCTAGTCTGGAAAAGCGCCAGACGCGTTTCGCCCTATTGGGGCCCGTCAGTAGCGCGCATTCCCTCGGTCATCTAAGGAGGATCGAACCCATGACCGCTAGAGGCAGATGCCAACTAGCCAGCAGCTTAAGCCAATGAGCCATGGGGGACGTTGACTGGGCTACATAATTTGCAAACTAGCTACTATTGAGTACTATAAAATCAAAAACCTCACCTAGTTTCAAATGGTATAGATATAGCGTCTAGTGAGAGGACGTCATCACCTTGCAGGCTAACCACTGTCAGTGACAGTGGTAGATAGGTGGTGCTATATCCCAGCTAATTTGCAAATTATGTAGCCCAGTCAACGTCTCCCATGGCTCAGTGGCTTAAGCTGCTGGCTAGTTGGCATCTGCCTCTAGCGGTCATGGGTTCGATCCTCCTTAGAGGACCGAGGGAATGCGCGCTACTGACGAACCCCAATAGGGCGAAACGCGTCTGGCGCTTTTCCGGACTAGGCTCTGCTATGTAGCTTGTGAACTGTTGGGATGAAAACCTTATCAAATTTACAACTAAAATCCTGCTACTAATGAGAACGGAAGGAAGTTGGCGTGGGGTATATCGACTTTAGTAAGGCGTTTGACAGAGTGAACCACGAGGTACTCCTTCGGAAACTGAGGACCTACGGAATTGGTGGCACGCTGCTTCAGTGGTTACACGAATTTCTTGTGGGACTGAAGTTTAGAGTACAAGTCAATGACTACCTGCTAGACTGGTTCCCATCGACCAGTGGCGTGCCTCAAAGGACTGTACTTGAACCAGTATTTCTTATTCATATTAACGATCCCCTGCAGCAGCTCCAGTCATCATGTGCCCTATTTGCAGATGATTTGGAAATCTGGAACATCATTGAGAACCCAGACGACTGCGCTCGCCTCTAGCATGACTTAGAGCGACTGTCAACGTGGTCCACTGAAATGTAACGCCCTCTTAACGCAAGCAAGTCGGAGTTCATCAGTATTACCAGACGTCAAGCCACTCGATCATACACCTTGGAGGGCCAGTTGTTCCACCCTAACACATCTGTCAGAGACGTAGGAATGCTCTTGCGACATGATAGGAGATCAGTAGAAAATACAGGGAAATTGTACCGTGCGGGACTTCGTATGCTTTGGGCATTACGACGCAGTTTCTCTACATGGTCCGAAGAAACCGTCCCTCGCCTATTCACCTCGCTCATCAGACTAATCCTTGAATACAGCGCCCCAATTAACCATCCGATAACCCAGTGGGAAATGGAAAAGCTGGAGAAAATACAGCATATCGCAATTAGAATGATACCGAGTCTACAAAAGCTTCCGTATGCAAAACCTTGTGAAAGGCTCGGACTCTACACACTATCCTATCGCCGAGTAAGAATGGACCTTATTATGACCCATCGAATACTACATTCGAATCACTTCCCCATACTGCGGCCAATATTTCACCCTCGGGAACCCTGTAGCACTCGAGGACACCGTTACAAACTCAGGGTCCTCTGCATGAACAAGATAACACCTCAGCTTTGTATAGAAGGAAGAATCGTAAACTTATTGAATACACTACCAGAAGGACTAATACAGGCCGATTCTGTGAAGTGTTTCAAAACACGTATCGGCGGTTCTTTCAGGAAACGTGTCCTTTTGGGAGACAGTGTACATACTATGCGCATACAATGGAAATGAGGACACCAATACAAACTCCAAACCGAACCAGCTTAAACGATTAACTGACCAAGCACTACCGCTGACGATTCGCAATTAAATGTTTTTGATTTTTCATAATTCGCTAGAGTTGTACAGTAACTTTTCTACTTCCTTTTAAATACAGTCCCAGTTTCCGTCACTTCAGCATGAGTGCTCATGATGTGGCACAAACCAACTGAGCTTGTGTGAGAGCGTAGTGAAGTTGAATAAAAAGCTCACACACTAAGGCCCCAAAGTGCCGGCTACAATGACCGGTTAAGCTGCCATCCACTCATCCCAATTTCCTGGTCCTGTGCACTATCTGACAAATTAGGAATAGTGTTCACTAAGCGAACTTTAACCATCTGGCCTATTTTAAGTTCCATGGAATCGTTTAATATGGAAAAGCTCACCAATATTAAACTGTAACAAGGCGATTATCACGTGTTGCAGTATGCTGACTCACTCTCTTTAACTCTTGTTCCAACGATTTTAGGGTCATATCCATTTGCTGCTTTTCCTCGAACAGTGATTCCAAACTTTTATCTGCGCGTTCATTTGCCGACTTTAGGGCTTCCCAATCCATTTCCACATTGGAGACATCTTCACCTAAAGTAGCTTTGTCTACAAGGGTGTTGTAATCACCCAGTTCACCCTGTAGAGAAAGCCGGAAATATATGACTGTGGCGGTACGTTCAAAATACTACTTATCAGCGACATGAAAAGCAAACATTGCATGCTGGTCGAACGTGACAGCGCAGAAGTTGGTGATATGTATGTATCAAAGTTAACTACAAGGAATGGACAACAACGTCCCCGTTGTACTCGGATATTGGTTAGTATTTTGGCGCGCTGCAATTTGTCAGATACGGACGGGTCACAACGAATAAATAAATTGTATATTCCTCGACGATGTGAGAAGTTGTACCCTAGGCAGGACAGACCAAAGGCTGTTACAACCTTTGTACGCTTTGACATAAATACTTTAACAAATACGAGCACGATTGCGAGTTTCTGCAACACAAAGTAATGCGAACTGTTTCGTTGGTTCTTCGGTCTGCCGATGAACCGGGATACCTCGCAAACACAAGACAGATGTTCGAGCCGAGAAGAAAAATGAAATGAAAGGGACTGTGGTTTAAAAAGTTACACGCGTGTTCATTTAGCCTGGATACGTGTGTCTTTCGTAATTTAGTTAGGCACTGGAATTGTTATCATACAGGTGTATAAATCTTTTCTTGGCTTGTCTTTACTCGTTACCGTTTTCGAAAGCTTTATGCATGGAGTTTGATGTCCCAAACATATTAACCGCACTTTGTACGGTTAAATGTCCACTAATCATAAACTTGAACTTACGCTGTATACAAAGAATTCGGATATCTCGGATGTTTGTTCCAAATTTTGAGTAGTGGACTAGAACAATGTTCTGATCCTCATTGTAAGCTTTGGAATCATGACTTTTGTCTCTTTATTGCGGATCAGGTATCTAGTGTTTAAAGACATGTAACCACCGTCATCATACCTCTGCATTTGATAATTTATGATCATGTAAAGAAAACGTAGGTTTGGCTTCATCCTCCGGAGTCGGACTCTGTCAAAGCCAAGGTTATCGCAACGCTCTCTGTAAGTTCTCTTTGCGGAAAAGACACAGTGTTTATGTGAAACGCCGCTGGACCCTCTCAAGAGCACGATGATCAGATTCTCCCGAATTCGTTTGGACCAATGAGCAGTACTTCACACAAGGTGATACACATGCTTTGTCAAAACCAGATGCGAAATTGCATGAAATGAAAATGATGGCTTGTATAGCCGATGCTCTTTATGACCTTCGAGACTTGAAAGTCATAATGCTTAGAAAAGTTGAAGTTAACAAAATATCGCACGCACAAATCACGAACCATCCTGCATTACGAGGTGCATGTGCCTTGCAGTAATAGACTGCGCTTGTTAGCTTTGTGATTGGTACCTGTGATTCGTGACGAGTCCCCCATGATAATTGTAACATCAAGGAATCAATTAAGCTGCTTCTATTAACAAACTGATGTCCACACATCGCTTGCTTGACCAAGCACGCAACAAACAATATTGCCAACCATGGACCATTCTTCTAAGCTCAATCGTTTGTTCTCCCACTTCGGCTATCTCTAGAAAAGGATCGGATAACGCTCTCAGCACCCTGTGTTTCACTTATCATTCACCTTTTGTCCGTGATAAATCACTATTCACTCTCTGTTATTCTGTGAAGTAGACGCGAGGGTAGGTGCGGCATGTACGAAGCTCGAAGCTTCTGAATTACTAGCATTTAAAATGGCTGCTACTTTCGTGGTGGGGCTCGCAGAATCGGCAAGTGAGCTTTGATGATCCAGAACTGGCCCCGTGTATGCGCGTCCATGACTCGTAAGCTGACTTCACGAAGCTCGCTGGAAGCCAGAAAAACGATACAGTAGCATATTAATTCCAATCAGTGTACAATACAAAGTAGCCTTTTGTCCATATACATGGGAATTCGACTGCGATTCTTGCATAATTTTTGATCCCAAGCAGGCCACATAGTTGTTACGTGTTCAACCAATGATCGCTCACTATGACCATAGACCTGATTGGCCCTACACACACACGTAGATAAGCACGCACACACGCACTCAAGGACACACCCTAACTTTCCGTGTACACATGTAAACCGTTAAGTGTTCAGTATACTGTGTGCCAAACTGACGCGTCTTCTTGCTTATTCGCTACTAGTCGAAATACGTACTTGCGGTTAGAGTCCAGCTGTGATATCTGGCGACGGAGGTCAACATGTCCATGACAAATACTCCACCGGTCTTCTGGTCGTGCTCTACCGACAAACCTTCCCTGGACTCGTGGCATAGATGGCGGAAAACCTTTACGGATTACTTGGAATTGCTTCCAATCTTGAATCCAGCAGTATCTCTTACTGAGAAAATCAAAGTGAAGCTCTTGAGACAGTTTCTTGGAGATGAGGGTCAAAGGTATTTCGATGCACTTCGCATTGATCAAATCTCTTCTACGATAACCGGCGCTTTGGAGACCTTCAGTGCTCTTTGGGGTGCTCGCCAGAATGTTTTTACGGCTAGATACTACTTCTCGAAACTCTGCCAGAAACCAGATGAGAGTGTGAACGAGTTCATCGCTCGTGTACTACAAGCAGCACCTGATTGTAAATACAATGAAGTCGATCCAACGAGATTTGAAGAGACCATGTTACTCCAATGTTTGATAGCCGGAATCTCAGACCAGAGCACGCGGGAGAAGCTCCTTTCACAAGATGATTGTTCACTGACCTGGGAGACGGCCTGCTCGATTGCCCGGCAGAGGGAACACCTTACACAACAACTCGCAACATTTACGCTGAAGGACTCGTCAGATGAGCTGCGATTGATTAACACTACACCAAAACCAAAGCCACCCACTGGCGTCAATTTGTTTGTGTGCTATCGCTGTGGTGAGCAGCACAGTTGTCCATCCGACTGCCGGCATCAGAAGACAGTATGTCGAAGCTGCGGGAAGGTGGGCCACCTGGCGCGAGTGTGTAGATCGGTCAAGCGACGTTCAGGTGGGGCTTATCGAGGAGCAAACCCCATCAAAACTGTGGGCGAGTCTGATGGTAGCGACTCTGAATTACATTCCATTTGGCTTAATTCCGTTTCTAGCATGCAGCCGGCGCCATACACTCTAGAGCTTTACATTGAAGGACAAAAGGTACAGATGGAAATCGATACAGGAGCATCCGTGACGATAATCCGGGAAAACGCTGTAAAAACGCTCCCGAACTTATCCGCTTGCAATTCTGTTCTTCGTACATACACCGGTGAACCTATACGTGTCCTTGGTAAATGCTTCGTGAAGGCACAGTATGGCGACAAAATACGCACACTTCCTGTATATGTGATCCCCGGGGATCGTCCAAATCTGCTTGGAAGAGACTGGATACGTGCTTTCCCGGATACAATGAATGTGGTAAAATTAGTCACCGAGATCTCCGGACTTGAAACATTACTTAAACAACATTCAGCTGTTTTTTCCGAGGAGCTTGGGAAGTTGAAAGAATTTCAGGCTGCGATAAAACTAAAGGAAGACGCTCGACCAAAATTCATTAAGGCGCGCACACTACCATACGCTATGAGGCCTAAAGTTGAAGAGGAACTAAACCGCCTACAGACTCAAGGTATTATTACTCCTGTACACTTTTCTGACTGGGGAACTCCAATTGTGCCAGTAACCAAACCGGACGGCTCCGTACGGATTTGTGGTGACTACAAGATAACCATAAATCAAGCATCCATGCTGGTCAGGTACCCCTTGCCACGTATTGATGACTTGTATGCAACACTAGCTGGTGGTGAAAAGTTTACCAAACTCGATCTGAGTCATGCATACTCGCAGATAGAGCTCGATGAACCTTCGAGGAAACTTACTACCATCACCACGCACATGGGACTATTTCAATATACTCGTTTACCTTTTGGCATTAATTCCGCCCCCGGAATATTTCAGAGAATTATTGACGACCTAGTGAAGGACATTCCTTTTGCGTGTGCTTATCTGGATGATATTCTTATCTCTGGACGCTCGGATACAGAGCATCTTCGAACACTCGCGGTCGTGCTCGAGCGTTTGGAGCGAAGTGGATTCAGATTGAAAAGGTCTAAATGTGAGTTCCTTTCACCTTCTGTTTGTTACCTTGGATACCGGCTTGATAAACACGGTTTACATGTTTTAAATGACAAGGTTAAACCTATTTTAGAAAGCCCAGAGCCAAAGAGTTGTGATGAACTCCGTTCGTTCTTAGGAATGCTATCTCACTATCGCCGTTTCCTGCCTAATGCATCGACGGTTCTATCGCCATTAAATGAGCTGTTACACAAAAATGCATCGTGGTGTTGGGGTTCCCGTCAAAAAAGTGCCTTCAATAAAGCAAAACAAGCTCTTGCTTCGCCACCAACGTTAGTCCATTATGACTCTAACAAGCCACTCATACTTCAGTGCGACGCGTCCCCTTGGGGGGTCGGGGCTGTCCTGTGCCACCGCATGGACGATGGTTCTTTACGTCCCATAGCATATGCATCGCGCACCTTACAGACGGCGGAGAAGAACTACTCACAACTGGACAGGGAAGCGCTAGCCGTTATCTTCGGAGTTAAGAGGTTTCACCAGTATTTATGGGGAAACGTTTTCGAGCTTCATACAGACCACAAACCATTGATATCCTTGTTTGGGGAAAACAAAGGTATACAACAAATGGCATCACCGAGGATGCAAAGATGGGCTATAACCTTGAGTGCTTACAGTTACAAGATTGTTTATATTACCGGCGTCAGCAACTGCACAGCTGATGCACTCAGCCGTCTGCCGATCACGGAAACTGCACATGAACACGACCCTCCGTTTGAACTGGTTAATCTAATGCAACATCTAGACACAACACCGATACGGAGTTCAACAATCCGTCAATGGACGGATCGAGACCCCGTGCTATCAATGGTGAAACGCTTTTTGAACATGGGTTGGCCTCCTGAAGGGACAGTTGAATTACAACCGTTTATGATTCGGAAGAACGAACTGAGTCTATTCGACGGCTGTGTTTTTTGGGGCTCTCGTCTAGTCCCTCCCACCAAGGCGCGTTCACAGATA